GAATACAGACTGCTCGCTCCCAAACGCTAGCCCCCCCACCATGAGCCGCTATCCACTCTGCACCCTTCATAGAGATCTCCTTCCTACAGCTCTGCCTGCTGCATCCCATGACGAGCAGGATCAGACCTTGATCACCCGCACAATTACCCTTTGACCGACCCTTCCCCTGGTCTCACGCCAAAGAGGAACATTTGGGGGGTGGGGTGGGGGGTGAATTCATCTGACTGTTGTTGAGCACCTGCCATTCCGATAAAACGAAGTGTGGCTGTTGTTTGTTTCTTTGTTTTATGTACATCCTGAAATATTCCATTGGGATTTACAAAGGGACATTTAGCAATACCTCTCCCCCGATTTCAGTGACTGAATCTCTGAGCCAGCTCTGGCAAATCTCCGGTTTCATTTTATGTTCTCCCTTTATGTGTCTTCCTTAATCAAGAACATATAAAAGGGGTGTGTGTGTGTCTGTGTGTGTGGTGTGTACACAGAGTGACATTTGAACTGCACAACATGTAGAGCTTCAGAACAGAAATAGGACTCAAATAAATTGCTTCACAGTCTTATGATTAACCAGGGTGCTGTGCTAAATTGTAGAGGGGTCAAGGCAGCATCCTACCATGGAAAAGCCGCCCCTTTCATCTGTGCGGCTCCTGGAGTCATTCTTTGTAAATCAATTATCCTGCATCCTATTTGTATTGAAACGGGCCCTTGCCCTAAACTCTTACATCTGCAGAGGTGGAATTGGGCATTCCCCATCTTGCCAACCCCACCCATGGAAAAATTATGAGTCTGGGCTCCAAAAATCATGAGATTAAAAAAAAAACCATCGTGCGTTTCGCGTTCTTTTTCTGTGCCTTCTGGGTTTTCAGCCTTTAGGGGTCACATTTTGATGCTTTCCCTGCAATCAGTGGCTAGCTAATTCCTTTTTTTGTCTAACGAGAGCTGAGATACTCACCTCACCCGTGATTCCAGGAGCTGAGACTTTCGGGAAGACCCCAGAAAAGGGGAGCATTGGCAATGCTGCATTCCTGGTTTAGCGTAAAAAGCAACAAAGACATTATAGACTAACAGATGTATTAACAGCTTTCGTGGGTGAATGCCCACTTCGTCAGAGGTTTCCCCTGCCCACCCGCTAGGCATGCTTCGAGATGGGCTGAGGTTATAGGAAGCAAAAAGAAAGTGGGCTGGGGGCGGCTGCCCGTTCTAGGACACACAGCCACAATGAGAAGGCTCTGCAGCGGGGGGTTGTTGGGCCTTTAAAAGCCTGTGGTCTCGTCTTCATTCAGATTCTCCGGCCGCTACAGTATAATGAAAGGCCCTATTGTCCCCCTGGGTGTGGAGAAGGGGGCTGATTTGGAAGTGTTAGGTAAATATTAGGCTTTTTTTTTTTAAATCTCCCCCCTCCTGCTGCATAAACCGGGGTGTGGGGGAGTCTGGGTTGACCGACTGGCTGTAATCTGCAGCTGGCCCAGGAGGCGGCGTTCAGAGCTAAGGTTACACAGAGCCAGTCACAAGGCCCAGGATTGTCAGGGCTCAGTTTTTCATCCTTTCCTTGTTTTAAACTTTTCTGTGCTGTTCAACGGGCAGCGACGCAGCCCCCCCAGGGCCACAGAACTGTGGGGCGTGTCCTACGGGTGTCGTGGCGACAGCACCGTGGGCAAACGCGTATGCCGCTCAGCCCAGCCCGAGACAGAAACAGCTGGGTGGCTTTCCTTCCACGAGTCATTGTAAGATGGGGGAGAGGGGAGCTTTTTCATTTAGGGCCTGATCCAACACGCAGTGGCTCCCCTTGGACTTGGGTCAAGCCCTTCCCGGATTCCTGGCCATCACGGGTAGCTGCTGATTACAAACTACAAAAAGCATGCCCTGTGGAAACAGTGCTTGGAGTGATCTGAACAAAAGGGAGGGTCTGTCATAACCTGGAAGCAGCAGCTTTGGCAAGACAGTGATTAAAGTGTGGCCTCTCTGTGACCTGGGTTGATCTAAATGTTGGGGGGGTTGGCTAGGTCTCTGAGGCCTCTACACGCACACGCGCACACACACACCTACCTCTCTCACTTTAAGCACCGTGTATAAAATTGTACAGCAGCTGGTTGGGACATCAAACACAACTAAGGATGCCACAGATGTTCCACTGGATCGGGTGTTGGCAGGAGTAGGGCTGAGCAAGCCTGCAGTGCTGGGGAACGGGCACCTCCCACAGAAGCGTTATGAGCGACTTTGGCATTTTCCCCGGAATGAAACGACACACACGAGTCTGAGAGAGCAACCGAGCTAAATGAATCTGTCTCTGGTTCTTATCCAGTCCCCTGTTACCATAGCATCTGAGATCCTCACAGGCTTTAGTGTATTTAGCCTCGCTACATGAGGCAGGGCAGTGCTGTGACTCCCATCGGGCAGATGGGAAACTGAGGCACAGATAAGCTACGTGAGGTGGCCAAGGTCACAGAGGAGGTCTGTGTCGGAGTTGGGAAGTGGACCAGTCTCAAAGGTACAGGCAAGTGATTTAACCAGTGCACTGGTTAAATCACTTCCTCTCATATCCACCATGCCTGACTGACTAGAACAGACAGCCCATCACAAGGCGTGAGTCAGCGTGGCCAGCTCTTCCAATTTTACTGGATGTCTTGAGATCTTCCAGGTTTTTCTTAGAGCCCCAGCTCCCGGAGTCAGCTGAGAATTTCAGGTTTCATGAAAAGAAATTAAGTGTCTCGCTCTCATGGCTGCTGAGAAAAGCGTCAACATGCTCAAAAACAGAAGGCAAAGAAAAAGAATCCAACTTTTATTATTATTTCAAATCTTATGATTTTTAAGCAAATCTTGTGATTTGGGGGGCTGACTCGGGATTTTTGAACGGTGGGGCTTTGTTGGCAATATGGAGATGGGGAACCTCAGTTGGGAATGCTGCTTTCTAACCTGGGCATACAAATAGCTTATCTGTCCTCCGACAGTGGCCAATGTCAGGTGCTTCAGAGGGAATGAACAGAACGGGCAATTATCGAGTGATCCATCCCAGGTGAAGATGATACAAAACTACTCAAGATTGCTAAGTCCAAAGCAGACTGCGAAGAGTTACAAAGGGACCTCACAAAACTGGGTGATTGGGTAACAAAATGGCAGATGAAATT